TTCGAAGCTAGCAACATAGCTTTGCTGTGTTTTAAATGCCAGTAAGCAAAGGGGATGCATTAAAATAATAAAGAGTGAACTCTACCGGTGGCAGTGCAGGTAAACTTTACAGGCATCTAACACATAAAAACAACAAACAGTGTACCTGAAACCAGCAAATAATATTTCTTGGAGGAATCCCCTCAATTAAATTTTTGTGAAATGTAGACTTTGTTCTACCAACTGAACATGCCATTACATCCCAACATTCTTTTAAGTGCTCAAGCACAGATAAGCCTTTACACAAACATGAACTGAAGTCCAACTATATTTGTGTTATGCAAGCGCCCCCCCCCCAAAAAAGCATTTGGAAGAATAAAATTAAGAGGGGGACTCTAAAGTACTCCTATGATATCTCCATTTTACCATTGGCAGTTCAACACATGACAGCAGTGTGTGTGAATTAGAACCTATACTACAAACCCAAAAGAAATAAATAACAAAAGAAATCAAGTATGTAATTCTGATCCATTTGCAGTGCTACACATAAAGGTGAAGTGCCCAACAGAGAGAATCCAAAAACTAAACATTTTTTAAAATAAATACATTTTAATGAAATAAAATAAATAATGTAACCCTATGCAACTCAAATATTAATCATCAATACTGGAAATCACCATTGCACCAATGAACCATTCAAAATCTTCTGTCATTTTCAAGTGCACCCACCCCATAAGCTGGTTTCTCAGAAACTGTACCTTTGAAGAGAGCTTTTGTCCATCAAGGTTTAGAAGTATCTTCTGGAAGACTTCAAATGTGCATTTAAGTTCAGGTGGGTAGCTCAGGTTCAAACAGTATATGAGTCCAAACAACAGAGCACATGCTTGTGCAATGTTACCCACACCAGTGAGAGCCTCCACACCCTCAATCAGGACACCAATGTCCTCTGGGTCATCTTCAGGTTCAGCACCCTCCTTCTGGATGGCATACACCCCCATCACGGTTTGCTCCATGCAGCTGTTTGCCTCGCTGGCCATATCCCACGTGAAAAAATATAGAACAAAATAAAAGTTAATAAATTGTTTAAACAAATTCTGTTTGAACAACTTTTTCTATGCTGTTCATAAAATCTAAGTAGTCAAAGTCACTGCCATGGTCTGTGTCGGCATCTCATCTCATGTGTCTCCTTTTGTCCTCCATTTGTTCTCTTGTTACTCCTTTTGCGTCCTCTAGCGCCCTCATGTGTCATGTCTGCGTCTCTATATGGTGTCTTCTGTTTGTAGACCTTTCTATCATCCCCTCAGGTCCAGTGTTCATTGAGTTATCCTCTGTGCCCCAAGTTGCAGCTCCAGCCTCTTTGTCCCCAGCTGTGTGTGGGTGTGTGTCCATTGCCCAGTTCATTGTGTGTGTGTGTGTGTGTGTGTGTGTGTGTGTGTGTGTGTGTGTGTGTGTGTGTGTGTGTGTGTGTTTATGTCCATTCCCCATTCCTGTTTATATTAGTGCATTTGTGTGTGTGATGGTGTGTGTGTGTGTTAATCCTTCCCGCAGCCTTTAGGTTCAGTTTTGTGTTTTAGTTTTTTAGGTTTATTTGGCCCTCCTCTGTTTCTGTTTGCCCATTTTGATTATTAGATTCACCTGTCTTCCCTCCAGCTCTCACTCCACACACCTGCCGCCATTTTCCCTAATCACTTCTCCCTGTGTATATAAGCTCTGTCTTGTCTGTGTCTGGTGTCGGTTCATTGTTGTATGTTGTCAGCGTTGCTCGTGCTCTGTTGTGAACTTTGCCTTCAGGTCTTCGTGCTCTTTGTTGAGCTTTTTGTCTCCAGGTTTTTTGTGCTCTAAGAAGAGCTTTAGGTGTTCCTGTTCCCCAGGACTTTTTGGACTTTGGCTCGGTCTCGGATCACTTTTTGTTCTTTATCCTAAAAATAAAAGGATTTTTACTTTGAATCTCCTCCTGCCTCTTGTCATCTGGGTATCTGCATCTTTGGGTCCTAAACATCCTCACAACCTGACAGTCACCAATAGAAGAAGAAAAGATCTCTAGAGCGCCTCTCAAGATAAAAATCACGAGGCGCTTCACAAAAACAAAAAATGTAAAATATAAATTATTTAGAAAATTATTAAAAATATATTTAAAATGAGCAAAATCTAGACAATTGTGATTAAAACATGTAAAGAAAGAGAGAGAGAGTGAATAGGAAAGAGGAAAATCAGTGGATCCTGAGGAAGGTGGAATAGGTAGGGAGAACAGAACAAGGAGCAGGTGATGAAGGTCACACAAAAACCAGCCTGAACAAGTGAGTTTTCAGCTGCTTTTTAAAGGAGACCACTGAGACCTGTGATCTCAGGCTCAGGGAGAGAGAGATCCAGAGTCTGGGGGCCACAGCAGCAAATGATCTGTCACCTTTTTTTTTCACTTTAATAAAGGAATGTACTGAAATGACTTTCTTTGATCAACTGATAAAATGTACTCAACAGGCTATACAACCCTAAAGTTAAACTTATAGTGTTGTTTTCTTTTAAATGAAGTTCCAAGGAGGAGTGAGCACCACCTCACCCCTGCCACAAAAGATAAACCATCAATCCTGCTCTATGGTCGACTTTCCTCGTGGGGTCACCCATAAAGATAGTGGGAGGGTTAATTGATCTTGTGAGGTCCACTTCCTGCATGGCCTCAACTGATGTTTCAACGGTTAGGGTCAAAATATGATCATACTTCAATGCATTTACAGTCAGTAAGTCTACAAAGGATTCAGCTGTTTACAGTTAAAATGGGATTTATAAAAAATAAGCAGCCCACTGCCTCTACGAGAGGGGCTCTAGACATTAAAACAGCTACAGTCCGCTGGTAATAGTTCTCAAATCCCCCAATGGCATCCAGGTCTCACAGATACACCGAAATCCAAGCCCTTGAGCATCAGAACAGTACTTTCAAATAAAAACTGTATTCATTACCAACCTGGCGTTGATCAAGCCAAGCCGGACTGGCAGCGCAGTTGTTAATCTGTCAGCATTTGAGTTCGAAGACATGGGGACAACTTCAGCATCAGACACGTGGCGTAGATTTGCACACCTCCATCGGTAAGGAGGCACCAGAAGATTACGTTGCAGCGGTATCCTCGATTCAAATCTCACCAGCAGCACTAAGCAGGATGGAGGAGGATCCAGCAGGTGTGATGGCGCCACAAGATGGCTGCCAGGCCCAGACAGTCCAGCTCCTTCCAGAACAGAGGCGGCATGGCGCACAAGCCCACGTGCATTCTGTGACGGCATCCCCGGCGCCTACGACGATTCCTCCAATGACCTAAAACCAGGACACGTCATTGTGGAACATGCGGCGCCGAGTTGCTTTGAGCCAAAAAAGTATTTTTTTTTGTAAGTAAGCAACAGAACCATATTGCAGACCAAAACCAAATATAAACAAGTGCACAGGAGACAGACAGCATCCACATAAACTGGCGCCATCCTGGGTCAGTCCAAACCTTAACCCCATTTTAGGAAGTGGTTCTCCAGCTGCACAGCAGCACAGACGAAAGCGCATCACATGGTCATCAAAGTGGACCGGGGATAGTCGGCTGTCCTCTCTCACTAGAACTTAGAAAATTCGTACGAACCCATCACGCCCAGGACATACTTACATTGATGTCCTGCCTTCAGCCAGACATTTCAGATCCATGAAGAGAAAAACAAATGAATTAAGAAATAGTTTTTATATTTCAGTCATTACTGTGCTGAATGCTGTAAAATGGCCCATTTGACCATGTGCACTAGATAAAGAGCAAAGTGCAATAATAACAAAGGTGTGCAGGTGTAGCACACTGTGATTTTTGATCATATTTTGATACATACTTTTGTGTTTTATTCTATTTTGCTGTGTACTTTATGCTTGTTCACTGTTTTCTGCATGGAAATAATTGCACCAAAAATGTTGTTGCATCATGTCTCATGGATACAATAAAAAACATTTTTGAATCTACATAAGTGCATGTCAGCAGTGAATCAAATTTAAAGCAAGAATTTACCTCATTGAATTTACCAAAAAGCAAAGAGAGCTGAGGTGAATTTAAGGCTTTCGGGTGACACCATAACCCTTTAAGGCAAGTCAGGCTCTGCTTAGCTTTAGATTAGATCAATGGCTTTACAAAGCTGAGCTATTATACAAGGAGATTGTGTTCTTTACAAAGTTTTTAAGAGAAATTTCTTTCTGCAGCACGACCAACTATATACATGGGCTGCTGTCAACCAGCCACCACACTCATTGGATCTCCTGGAGGGGAAAGTAACCAGTCAAATGAAGGGCCCCTGGCTGTCAGTGAGGCCAAGTGTAGACAACTGGCCTGGTCATTATCCCACAGAAGCAGGTAAGATCAACACTTATGTCAGAGCTGGAAAAGATTGTCACTGTTGAGTTTAATTTCAATTCAATTTAGTTTATTTTATGAGTGGGACTGGATTTAAAAATAATTCTGATTAACTGGAGGCTTTGTAATTAATTAATCTAAATTAATCTCATTTAACCGTCCAGGAAAATGTGCCCTCAAAGCAATTTCTAAAATTAGAATGATCAGACAGAGAATCAAACATGAGACATGGTAATTACCGTATTGATCCGAATATAAGACGAGAGGTTTTTTTTTTCATTGAAAATAATTTTTAAATCTGGGGTTGTTTTATGGTCGGGGTCTAACCATTACACGCCCGTATGACGTTCTGGGAGGAGTTGGCAGGTGTAGCGGGCTGATGGTCCACCACACAGCAGCATGAGTGAGTACAGCGAGGTCTGAATAAAAGCCTCATTTGACTGATAACCTGAGCTGTCCTATATTCGGGGCAATACGGTAATATTACTGTAAACTTTCTTTTAATTTCTAAACAAAAATGCTTTTTAATTATTCAAAGTATCAGTGAAACAAGACTAAAATGTATAACTGCAAATAGAAAACAGCCTTTGTATGAGCCTTTATATTGTCTTTCAGTCTAGTTGAATTACTGGAATAAACAGACTGCACCAGATTCTAATTTTTCCAGTTTCACTTGTTTGTATAATTTGGTAATTTTGTTAGTATTTCTACTCATAATGTAGTAAAAACATATATATGAATAAAAATCCTGAATAATGACAGTATAACAGGCACAAAGATGATCTATTCAGGTTTTATGTTTTCTTGTTGTTGATTCTTTTTTCTTATTTTTTATTCTCCTTTTGTTCTCCTGTAATAAGCGTCATCGCTGCTGTGACATCTATCTTTCCCCACTGAGGAACAATAAAGGGATTTTCTATTCTATTCATCTATCTGCAGCCTTTCCACTTCCTGTTTACTGTAGGTTAAATCTTTTCGCACGGGCCAACAACAAAATAAAATATTTTATCTTAAATGAAAATGCAACATCTCACCTGTTAACTTTCATGTTTTGGAGCAGAAAAAGAGCATAAAACCAACATATTTAAAGCTCAGTTTGCTCCACTGGTTTACTGTGATGCTCACCTGTTCCAGCCAGATACCTGCATCATGGGGTTGATCTGAGCTGAGGAGGAGACTCCTGTTGTTTTGTTCATCTTCATCATAATAATGACAACATTAGATGACAACAGGTGCTCACATAGGTTTGTGCTGCTGAACATGTCTGAGCAGCTTGACCACGTTGTTGTGTGTCGGGGAGGAAAAATAAAAACAGCAAAAATACAGCAGCCACAGTCATGCTGACCTGAGCGTAGGGCTGTAGCGAAGCCTCGACGAAGTCGACGGCTCGATTCTAAAAATTTGTCGACGTCAGATCCGGAAGTCGACGCACCGCGCCCACTTGTTGCATCCCCAGGAGTTTGTAAATAGAGGAGGAATCTGCCTGTTTTTCCTCTAGTTCGCCCTCTTCTCCGCCTTCACTAACATCTCCGCCAAATACCGAAGACCCGGAACAACGTCCGTCCACTACTAGATTATTTTCCTGTTTTGCCCGCCTTCGTCTCCCGGCAACAGACAACAACTTCCGGGGTCAGATGCGCTGCTTCGTGTCTATCGCAGATGTAGAAAATCACCGGGAGTGCTTCTCCCTTCATTAAGGAGCTTCTTTCAGACACGAGGAGAGCTGTTTTGGTGGTAGCAGTCTCTCCTCCGTGCTGGTCTGTTTGCTGCTGGGTGTTTTTGGTTTATTTAAACTTGGTAACTTGAACTTAATGTTGGTAAAGCTACTGTTAGCATCTTCGCTAACAGCTTCTTGCGTTGGGATAAGCTATTACGTTTTGGTTTAGAGTTCATCTTTTTTGTGGTGTAGATCTCCCTTTTATTACATTTAGAGTGTTGTGGGTTTTCGGTTTAGTGTAAAATATCACCTGAGTTTGGTTTAACCCGTAAGACCAGTCGCCTCACGCACATAAGTGACCAAAACAAAGCAGCATGGAGACACTCCATCTTCTACCACCTCTCAGGCAGCAGCCTGCTCTCCCAAGTTCTACACGTCACCAGAACATAACCAAACAACACAATAAACGCAGTGGTATACAAAATGGAAGGCCTGTAGTGTTTATTCTCTTACAGTAAGAATTTATCAATTTTTTTGAGGAATTTATTTGAGATTTTCTGGTTTTTGTTAATTGTGCAATAGAAAAATAATCATTAGATTAATTTTCTAAATAGTCATTAGAATAGTCGACTATTCGATAAAATAATCGTCAGAATAATCGTTTTAAAAATAATCGTTTACCCCCAGCCCTACCTGAGCGTGTCACTGCTCGCTGGAGTTATATCAGGTCTGTCTGGAAGTTAGTTGGAAAACTTTATCTTTCAGTCGTGAACACATTACTGAGCGGTTAAAATCTCCGTTTCTGGGCTTCAACGTCAGCAAATAGCTGAGTTAATTTAGCGCTGAGTGAGAGAAGTGTAGCTTGTCCGAGACTGCGGAGCTGCAGACATCAGTGTTGTGCCAAAAAGCGACTGGCTGCCAAAAAATGATTAGCCACTGCGGGAATGTGCACAGTTAGGGTAATTGCATTTCTAGACAAAATTCCCCGGGATTGCGCCTTAAAACTCGGCATACCTTCCGGCTCTCAGAGAGAGAGTACAGACGCTTTTGCTTCGGCTCCCTTATCTGCTTCTCCCAAGGCTCTTGTCCTGTCTGCCTACAGAGCACTCTCTGCATTTCTCCTGAAAATCACTACTTCTTTTTGGAAATTGACTTAATTAACTGGTCATTCAACGCGATTGATAAGATTTTTTCTATGATGAGAACGGAGAAGGGGGCTCCCACCTGTCCTCAAGGGACATACGCAATGGGATATGCACTCGATTCTTGGGAGGTCTGGTGAATCGTGTGCCTCTCTCAGTTGTCCATCGAGGACGTGGAAGATTTGTGGATATTCGGCCTGATGATCACTGGATTTCTTCTGATTGGAGTGGGAGGATACCTGGTTTTCTGGAAATTTGGGAAGACTGGAGCGATTGGAGTGCGACCCGTACCCACGGATTGTGCCGCCCGTGCGGTGACCTCACAGACTGGGACGTTACTCGAGGTGAACCGTAAGCTGGACAAGGTCCTTGCGGCGTTGCCTGTGTTAGTGCGCAAGATGGATGTCATCTCGGAGAGGGTCGCCGGACAGTGTGGGGATGTTTAGAACGTACAATTGGCTTCACTGGTGGACATGAATGATCACTTAATAGATTCCAAGGCAGAGAGGAAATTATCTCTGTCTGCCCTAAACAAAGTCTTGTTTATCCTTATCTGACGCCAATGCAGCCTCCAAACTGCCTCAATATCACCCCCACGAAAGGAGGAATGTAAACAGATGCTGTGACCCGACCTTCCCCCCCTGCCTTCAGATGGTGACTTCTGCTTCGAGGTCGTCAACCTGCAGGAACTCAATGTGCTCTCTGGCCTTCGTCTCTCCCTCTCACCTGTTTGACTGCAGCTGTGAGCGCCGTACACTGGCAGCTCCCGTTGGAGGATTCAGGAAAAGTTAAAAGCTACAAGATAAAAGCACTTCAGCACATAAAATTAAGATTGTCACTTGCCAAATAGTGACTATACCCTCCTGATTACCTATAAGAAACACCTCAAAATAACTTTAAATTCTTTATTGATGATTTATGATAATTTGTAATGATGTTTATTTTTAATGATATTTATTAATGATGACTTATGTTATTAGTTTCATCACAGGATGCTGGGTCTCTTCCACAATCACAAACACCCCAAAAATGGCAAAAATTGATTACAGTGTCCTGGTCACCTGTAAAGGGCTAAATTGACCTAAATATTACTTTATTTGTTATGATGCTGGGTGTCATACACAATCATATTCGAATAAACATGAAAATATTCCATCCAAATATCTGTTTCTTGTTAGAAATATATCAGCCAGAAGGACTTACAGTTAAATAGGAGAAACATTTAAAGAAACTATTTACAATTAACCACAGAAATAGGTAGAAATATTCCTCTTTCTTTCCTTTTGGTGGCTTACTCAGGCACTTTTGGTGGCACCATCTTGGGCACACATCACATCCAATCTGTTTGAGACAAGAGGACAAAAAAGTACATAGCAAAATAAGTAAAAATAATTCAGTTAGAAATTTTCTTACAGTTTTTTTCGATTGCTAAAACGCATTTTTCAAAACTGTACATTTCTTTAAAAACTGCACAGACAAAACCCCAAACATAACAAACAAATTCCTAAACCGTGGCTTCCCTTTGCAACAAAATCCTGCCATCACATATCGTAACATGTTCCCAAAATGGAACACGTGTTTTCATTTGGTAAACACAGCCACATTTACACATGACACACACATACCATTCATTGCTTAAACACAAGTAGCCTTTGGGTGAACACTACCAAGCATGGAAAGAACACTGAAGAGCAAAACTGAAAACACAATTGTCTAAATGGAACACAATGAATTACACACTGAATGTATGACAGTGCCCACTTTTCTCTGAGAAAAACATTAGACATCACACACATTTTGAGACAAAACATTTTATTTTTACAGCCCCCCCCCCCCCCCCCCCCCCCGAAATTTTGAGACAAAAGACTTTATTTTTACAGTTAAACCCCCCACCCCCACCCCCTCTCCCATTCAAGCATAATCATGGGGCATCATGCCTCCGGTCTCTGTCTGGCCAGAGGGCCTCGTCAACATCCTCCTGGTTCAAACAGCTCTGGAAGTACCGCCTCGAGTGCCTCATGAAGCCCTGACAGGCCTCAAAGGCCACATCTCTACAAGCCTCCTCCATGGCTTGAAGCAGTGGGACCTGGCTCTGTGGATTCCTTTCGTACACCTTCCAGCTCCAGGCTGAGAAAAACTCCTCAGTGGGATTGAGGAAGGGGGTGGTCCTGAAACCACTCATACACCTGGGTAGCCTTGTG